TTGTTCTTCTTGTTAGGTATTATTGAGTCAATATTTGGCTCACAGCAAATCCATGTGACAAAGTAGTAGAACTGCCTCAAAGGGATTTTAAGTCTGAAATTTTTATAGGAACAAATTATCAGGTCTTTCTCTCATGGAGCTACTGGGTGGGGTCAAGCCAACAACCTTGCAGATAGCTACCAAGTACTTAGCCATTGCATTACCAAGGCACCTCACTGCATATAAGAGACAATATAGCTAAACACAGAGCACAGTGAGATCCACAATTCAAGTCACAATCACCTAAAATCACCACAAAATCACCACAATTCAAGTCACATCACGGCACTGACGCTACAATCCTTTTCCTGGGAGAATCCTCATCCACCACTGTAGTGTGTAGGTTAAAAATCAAGTAATCCATCTCTTCACGGTTTAACTAATGATCAAGCTTTTCACCATGGTCTAAAGAGCAGGAGTGAGAGGGCAGAGGGGAGAAAACAAAACGCATCTTAATCTTGACAGAATTCTTCGGTGAGGCTAATCAGTGGCACAAATTCTTCAGGACATTTCAGATCCATTGTATAGATCATTTTATGTCTTGAGTCCCCTTTCTCAATTTTAAAGTAAGAATTTTCTTTCCCTTTCTATATTGTGGAGCTTATTTGCCAATGGCCATGCAGAAATAATCTATGCAGTCCAAACAGGTCAAACAATCTGCAGTTTGTCTCGGAAACAGTGACTTCTTTCTTCCTCATTTAGGGAGCTCTGGCATGGTCCACAGGGAACTGAGTCCATTGAGGTGCTGCTAACACAAATGCAGCACCTCTAGTGGTTCAAATCCACAAGCTACTTTGTGGAGGAAAAAGAAGCAGCCTATCTTTGCATTCTATTTAGCCTCTGAAAACGTGCTGCTGCGTCAGCTCTGAGTTGATTCTGACTAGATAGTAATGAGACAGATGGTCATTATTTAGAAAATGAACGTGTTTGCTTGATGCATTTTCTTCCATTTTTGGAGGTTCAGTGCCTTCAGTTTTTCATGCCTAGAAACCCTTTACACTAGCATTTAATTTAAAAAGATGTATTCTTTTACATTATTTAGGGTCTTTTGTACTTATGGGCTTTAGGAATTTCTTCATCTAAGTTTCTGAGATCCCTTATAAGCACTAGAAAGCAAAGTCTTTATAAGAAAAAAAGAAGAGTTCTTTTTGTTTTGAACTGAAAAATAAACCCACCCAAAACTCAATGCCTGCAGTACTCACTACACTCTTGATAGTTCATTTCAGTCAATTATATGGGACTACAACCTACCAAAACAAGGGAGGGGAAGAAAGCCACCAACCTGTCTTGTGTGTCAAAATCATTGAGCATCTACTGTTTGAATTCTTTTAAAACCTGCTGAGATTTGGTTTTGTTAAAACTTGGAAACATCTGCTCTGAGTCTAGGTCCTTGCTCAGTTGAGCTTGCCATTGTTTTTGAAGCTCTGACTCAGCCTCGCTCCAGCTAACACTGTGAAGTGGAGGGCAGTTCTCTGTGACAAATGCAAGCTCAGACAAAGTAGTCCCTCTGTGACTTTCCGTGGCCAAGAGTAGGCTGGGGATTTCCATAGAGTTGTCTCCTCCAGAGAGACGAGCACTGTTGGGAGGTTTCATTCGAGAGACAAACTTGGGTGTAAGGAACATCTTGACTTGCTTGCAAGCTTAACTCTGCCTGAAATTAACTGAGCTAGTGTTAGAGAGATCATGGTGAAGAGAAAAAAGAACCAAAGAGGTCACATAATTAAAATGTTTAACAGTCAAAAGTCTTACTGTTTGTACTTGGCCAAATGCATTTGTGTAACGCCAACTGAACTTTTGGCAAAAATAAAAGATTTGTTGGCCAGCATTAACTCCATAGCCTCTTAGAGAGTTTGCATTTCTGGGTCGCACTGTAGTTTCTGGCAAGCCTGAAGGTACCACAGTTGGCATGACTCTGGCTCATGACAAATCTAATGTGATGTGTGTGCTATAGTTTCCCCAGAGGAAAATATCTATATCTCAGCTGAAACATCAAAAAGAACCTTGCAAGGTCTCAGTGAGTCCCGGTGGAAACATTTTCTTCTTGCCTCGGGAGGCTGCCATTCCCTGGGACAGGCACCTTCTTGAGATAATGACCTTGATAAGACATTGCAATGGTGTTTCCAAGACACTCCATCAGCTCAACTGGAAGATCCTCATTTTTCATCATCATTCCAGCTATCATCTTACATTTGTGCTCTGAAAACAATTCTCACGTGACTTCGTCTTAATTTTATCTTGACGATTTCATGGCACTCCTCTCAAGCAAATGATTAGGAGCATTTAATACGATGTAGGATTCCAGAAAAACTAAAAAAATTGGTCTCTGAAGAAGGACAGTCAGTCATTCAATAGGTGGTGCTAGGAAAATTTGGTTTCCACATGCAGAAACTAAAACCATATAATTCTTAGGGAAAAAAATCAGGACAATGTTGTTAGATGCAGCTTCTCACAATATATTAACTAATATGATAAGAAAAGCACAGACAACAATACATAAAATACATTGAAATTACCTCAGAAAAATGAACTTTAGTCTTTATCAAACAGTGATATCTACCAATTATCTACCAACTGGAAGAATATCTTCAGAAACCATGTATCCAATGTTGTTGTTATTATTGTTGTTGAGTGCCTCAAGTTGAGTACTACTCATAGCAACCTTGTGAACAAAAGGCCTGAAGCCCTTTTACAACTATCGACATTTATCAAAGTTCATAAAGTTTCCAGAGGCAAGTTGTTTAGGAATTGGATGCCACTCCTGCTTCCAATAAACCAAAATAATGAAATCATAGAAAGGACAAAAGATTTGCATAGACATATCATCAAAGAGAACATTTAAATGGGATAGTGGTTGTGGAATATAGTGTAGCACTTCCTCAAAAAACAAACAAAAAACCCAAAACAACCAACAGAAAACAACCCCACCTAAAAATATGGCATAGCATTTCCATACCCAAAAGGCTTGGAAGTAGAGAATGAAAAACAGACATATACACCAATTTTACTGCAATACTACTTATTTTCACTATATCCAAGGGGTGGGGGACACACACAACTAAATTGCCCTTGGTTGAGTGAATTAAAAATTTGGTGCATAGTTACCGTGGAATTTTATTCAGCCAGTCGTTGTTAGATGCCCTTGAGTCAAATACGACTTTTAGCCACTTTATGAGCAATAGATTTTCTAAGGACCAGCCTCTCCTGACAACATGCCCAAACTATGTAAGGCAAAGCTTCACTATCCTCTCCCGTAAGGAGCAATCTGGTTATACTTCCTCCATGGGATATTAAGTACTCTTCTCCAAATGAGGACACTGATTCAGCTAGTAGGAAAAATGAACTCTTGATATGTTCTTACCTATTTATAAGATAATTCAATAAGAACTTTGATAAATGTCGATAGTTGTACAGGGGCTTCAGGCCTTTGTTTATAGGGTTGCTATGAGTTGTGACTGGAAGACAATCAACAACAACAACAACACAATTCAATCACAAAAGTGCAAATACTGCATTCCATCAATTATATAATGTAGAAAGCAGAGATTCATTAGTGGCTGCCAGGAGAATGTGGAAGACAGGCACAGAATAGTAACTACACTGAGATAGTGGATCTTTGATAAAACCAAATCCAAAGGCGCATTGCCATTGAATTAATTCTGAATCATGGCTACCATCTAGAGAAGGACTGCCTCATCGTTCACACATGGCGTGACCAATAGGCTTAGAGTTATCAGCTACGTGCTTCACCAGGGAATTACCAGGGTGCCTTGGATGTTCGACAGGCATGCAGGAATAGTACTATTTAACCTTAACATTTAAACCTCAGTCTCTTGGCACCAATTTTGTCCCTTAAGTGTATATTTGAGAATTACTTCACCATCTATAAGTATCAGTCTCTGTTGTTTATAACTATGATAAAAAGCAGGCATATTACAAGAGAAAATTTCAACGGAAATACTATAATAGATGTTCTTACACTGTTAATTCAAATAGGATCAGCAAGTGGGACCACGCATGGTGAACAGGTTTCCAACAGAGCCTCCAAATCTAAAATTGACTAGGAAAAAAGACCTGTTGATCTACTTCTAAAACATAGCCAGTAAAACCTTAGGGAGGGCAACAGTATATTTTCTGTGGAGCTCCCTCCACAAAGGAGAGTTGATTTTAATGACACTGTCACCACTACAGTTGTTGTTGTGAGCCCTCGAGTCAGTACCAACTCATAATTGACCTTCCAATGGGTTTTCAGAGGCAGTAAATCACACAGAAGTTGACTGCCCATCTTCATACTGTGGTGGATTCGAACCTTACCATTTGGCCGCCAGAGCTCTCTGAGCTAATTTTGTTTTTAGAAGAGGAAACTAACTGGGAATTTGTGAGGATAAGTAACTTGCTTGAGGTCACAAAACTAGTAAATTCTGGTCCAGGATTTAAACCTAGTCAATCTGACTCTCAAAGGACCCCTTGTGGTACAACGGTTAAGAGCTTGGCAATTAGCTGCAAGGCCAGTGGTTCAAACCCACCAACTGCTCAAAATTCCTTCATTGTAATGGCATGGGAACCAACTCACAGCTGACCCTCCAGTGAGTTTTCAGAAACTGTAAGTCACTTGGGAGAAGATTGCCCATCTTTCTCCCTTGGAACCAGTGGTGGATTTGAACCACCAGAGAAGTGTAGCCTTTGGTTTAGCAGCATGCTTCCCTATGAACTCTGCCTCCAAATCTTCCTTATTGGAGAAAAGACCTGGCAATTCCCTCATAAAGATTACAACCTTTGGAACTCAATGAGTCAGTTCAACTCTGTCCTTCAGGGTGGTTCTGAGTCAGAATCACCATGAAAGCATGTATCAGTCACAATCTGGTTCTCAGGTGTTAGGTCAAGACGTCTATTTTTGAGCAGAAATACAAATGTCCAATAATATGTGATGGTCTAAAACTTCATGCGCATTTCTTTTGTCTTTCAGGGGATACAATATTCATTATTCTGAGGAAGCAGAAGCTGATCTTCCTGCACTGGTACCACCACATCACTGTGCTCCTGTACTCTTGGTACTC